CTCGGTCCAAGGTTCCCCCTTGGGATCTGGCGGTGGTTCTTGGGGCGTTGGCTGAGGCCCGCTTCGAACCCCTACAGTCAGCTGAGGCTAAGCACTTGACCCTCAAGATGGCCTTTCTCCTTGCTATCACCTCTCTGAGGAGGGTGGGGGATCTCCAAGCGCTTTCGGTTTCCCCGCAAAGCCTGGAGTTTGCCCCGGGGAATATTAGGGCTATCCTGCACCCTCGTCCAGGATACATCCCTAAAGTGCCTTCTTGTGCGGCAGGGTCCACGGTGCTGCAGGCATTTCATCCTCCACCTCATGTGACGGCGGAGGACGGGAGGCTTCATCTGCTCTGCCCGGTCAGAGCACTGAGTATTTACACTCTGAGGTCCTCCCGTTGGAGGAAGGCTGACCAGCTGCTAGTGTGTTTTGGGTCCCCCAGGGCTGGGCTCCCTGCATCCAAACATACGATTAGCAACTGGATTGTTCAGACTATTTCCCTGGCCTATCAGGTGCGCGGTTTGCCTTCACCTGTGGCTGTGAGGGCTCATTCTACCAGAGGCATGGCGGCCTCTCGAGCCTTCCTTTCCGGGGCCTCTTTGCAGGATGTTTGTTGGCTGGGCCACTCCGCACACATTCATTCGGTTTTACAGTCTTGACCTTCCTTCGGCACCTGGCACTCGTGCGCTCTCCTCTTAGTCGTGCCACTTTATTGCACACAGGGGCAGGCGGGGTTTTCTGCACGGTTTAGTGGGTATCTCGTTCCCATAGTGTTGTAACCGACACAGTTCGAGTTCCCTCGAAGGGGAACGTCTCGGGTTACGTATGTAACCCTGGTTCCCCGAGAAGGGGAACGAGAGACTGCGTCGGCCCGCCGCACCTCTCTCCCCGCCTGAAGCGCCTGCTTCATAGTTTAAGCTAATGATGAGTGTGTACAGGTGTGCTTTATACTCCTCCGGTTATTCCGTCACACCTTACCGTTCTAGCAACAAGCCAATAGGATTGGAGTGATTTCATTCACGTTCAGACCTGCTTCGCCCAGAGGTGTTCCCATAGTGTCGTAACCGACGCAGTCTCTCGTTCCCCTTCTCGGGGAACCAGGGTTACATACGTAACCCGAGACGTTTTCTAGGAAGGCTGAAATAAAAAGGAAGAAGAAAAATTGGTTAGTGTTAGATACACTAGAGTACGCTCTGGCTGCTGCTCCTGTTTAGGAGAGGGAAAACTGTCAACAACACCCTTAGTTAGTTTACCCATAGTCAGCACTTCTATACTAGATATGATCAATCTATCTTTATCAACAGGCTATGTACCACAGTACTTTAAAGTAGCTGTTATTAAACCTCTTCTGAAAAAGCCCAAACTTGATCCGGATGTTTTAGCCAACTATAGACCTATATCTAACCTTCCATTTCTCTCTAAGGTTATGGAGAAAGCAGTTGCTAAACAGCTGTGTGACTTTCTACAGAGCAATAGTTTATTTGAGGATTTTCAGTCAGGATTTAGAGCTCATCATAGCACAGATACAGCACTGGTGAAAATTACTAACGACCTCCTTATTGCATCAGACAAAGGACTTGTCTCTGTACTGGTTTTATTAGATCTTAGTGCTGCATTTGATACCATTGACCATCAGATCCTATTGCAGAGACTGGAACATTTCATTGGCATTGAAGGAACCGCTCTAAGATGGTTTAAGTCCTATTTATCAGATCGATTTCAGTTTGTACATGTTAACGATGAGTCCTCCATGCATGCCAAAGTTAGTCATGGAGTTCCTCAAGGATCTGAGATCAAGATCAAGATATAGTTTCCCTTGATGGCATCGCTCTGGCCTCGAGCACCACTGTGAGGAATCCTGGAGTTATCTTTGATCAGGACATGTCATTTAAGTCTCACATTAAGCAAATTTCAAGGACCGCCTTTTTCCACCTACGTAATATTGTTTTACAACACCAGCAATCTGTAGTTTTCTAGGAAGGCTGAAATAAAAAGGAAGAAGAAAAATTGGTTAGTGTTAGATACACTAGAGTACGCTCTGGCTGCTGCTCCTGTTTAGGAGCGGGAAAACTGTCAACAACACCCTTAGTTAGTTTACCCATAGTCAGCACTTCCATCTCTAACACTGAGCAGCTAAGTTTTGCATTCAGTTCTCCATTTTCTCTGTGGAGGAGAGGTATATATGATATACCAGGTGGCTGATTAGAGACAGAGTTACTGGGTTATTGCACAGGAATTGTTCCTGACACTGTGAGTCAGAAATCAGCTGTTCATCAGAGTGATGGCTTGTGGGAAGAAACTGTTTCTGAGTCTGTTGGTTTTGGCGTACAGTGCTCTGTAGCGCCTACCAGAGGGGAGAAGCTGGAACAGGTTGTGTCCGAGGTGAGATGGATCTGCAGTGATGTTTCCTGCCCGTTTCCTGACTCTGGAAATGTATAAGTCCTGAATGGAGGGCATCGTTGGTGTAGAGGGAGAAGGGCAGGGGGGAGAGCACTCACCCCTGGGGGGCGCCAGTGCACGACAATTTTGCCACCCCAGATGGGACGGACGCATGATCTGGACTCGGGTGAAGTGCGGAGGCCTACTTAGATAGTGGATTCCTCCCTGTGGGTGTGAAGCTGCATTCAACTGAGCCCTGGTCATTGCTCCAGTCCTGAACTTACACAGCGAGAAATTAGTAGATAACTGAGTGAAAAGATAGAAGTGAGATTGAACAGAGTGAAGTGTTATATCTCGTAATCTGATAAGTGGGTTGAGAGTGGGACTGGATCAGGGGCCTGTGGACAGACGTGTCCTGGTTTTCTCTGTGGTGTCCAGGGGTTTTTGGGGTTTCCAGCTTATAAGTTAGGGTTGCAGCGTGTAGCCTCAGACTTAACCGACCTCAGTGGACCCAACTATTACTGTGGACCCAAATACAGACTAGCTAGAGAGAGAGACAATGGGGAAGTGTCAGAGTAAAGTGAAGACTGGGTGGGAAACCACTATTACCCTCACCAATTGTGAAATGTATGACTGAAAAACATGAAAACTCAATGGGACAATTTGATAAGGAGCACACGTTTTAAACCCGGAAGAGACTGAAACCAAAGCCGCAACTATAGCTGTGGCTGTTGGAGGGCCAGTAACGCTTCAAGTCGCAACAAAGACTGAGGGAGAGGGCCCTGGAGGTGTCGGGACACAGCTACCTCAGAGACGCGGATCCATTTGCAGATGGTACAGACAGGAAGCCGAGGGCACTGCCTATAGAGCGACCTCGATATGCGCTAAGGTCTGAGAATAAAACGGATGACCAAGTGAACATGGAAATGCCAATAAAGGAAGCTGCAGGACATGCAGGCCCGGTGCTAGTTTTCCGTCCCTGGGCTGAAACAGATTTAGCAGATGCAATGGTTCATATGACCAGTCCGGTCGACAACATCGAAAATTTTGACAAACAAATGGATCAGTTTGTCAGAGAGTATCAGCCCACAATGACAGAGCTAAAGCGCATGATGAGCAAAATGCTCAAGATGGACTATTACAAGATCGCGTCCTACTTCACGCCAGCCGTGCAGGCGTGTCGGCTGGTAGAGGTGGTTTACAGCCATGCGGATGATGTTGATTACAGAGACGCTGTCACTGGATTAATAGTCGCCTGCAAGGCTGCTTTTCTAATGCGGATGGATCTGCCAATTATCACCTCGGTGATGCAGGAGCCGACGGAGACCTGTCAGGCTTACCTAGCCCGTCTGACAGTTGCCTTCGATCGTCACAGCGGAATGACACGGGGCCAGATTGGGGCTGTTCCATTCCTCCCATATGAAGTGCATCTCATACAGCATTTCATGACCTGGTTGAGGCTAGAAATTGCTGCAGCAGTAAGACAAAGATGCGTCTTTTGGAAAACAGCGCCACTTTCAACGATATTAGACTACGCTGGCCACGCGGAGGGAGAGCTTAGGGAGAGAGAGGAGAGCAGCAGAAGAAGCTAGTGGACGCGCAGTCTATGTTTAACTCCATCAACATCACAAGCCAAAAGATGGAGTCCTCGCGTGGAGGAAACGGGGGGCCTCGCTCGAACCGGTGGAAAAGAGGGGCCCCGGGAGAGGTTGCAAGAATGACCAGCAAAGTGTCAGTGACCCAGATGTTTGTTGGAACTGTAGGGAAGCCAGACATTGGCAAGATGAATGCAAAAAAGGAAAAAAAAGGGGTTATGTGAAATCGGACTGAAATGAGGGAGTGGAGGCGGAGCGGACCCTGGGGACGGTCCGGCCTGCCATACACACATCAATGGGTGAGTCTAAAACTACAACAGACTATGACAAAATAATGATGGCAATAACATACACTAAAACTAAGAAAGACATTGATAAACTTGACCGTTTGACTTTTGAAATGTACATAGATGGAAATGAGGGATTCAGGAAGCTGCCCGAGTTAGTTTATAACATAGCAGCAAGGATAGCAAGGAGAAGTGGGCGGTTTTGCAAAACTGTAGAGTCAGTAGGACTCCCTATTTCAGAACCATACACGACACCACTGTCATGTGCGCTGGATGACGCCATAACCAAACATTTTTGTTATCAGAGAATTGTGCCATTAACCTAATGGGACAAGATCTCATGATTCATTTTGGTATTGTTTTAACCTCACATCCCGAGGGGTTGAAAGTGACCCGACTGAAATTTTCACTTCAAATGGTAAAATACAGTCCAGAGGCATTGAACTTTGTTTATGAGTGAACTTTGGCGCCATCTAGTGTGTCTGCTGTGGTACCACAACTGAGAATATTCATAAATCAACACTGTACCAAGGCCTCTGCATTTCAACCAGACTCCTTACATTGCACAGCACACTGTTCTGAAGGACAGGATGAGGAATTAGAGAAATTATGGAACAGGGACAGTCAAAAGGTAGAAACTGTAAACTGTGTTTACAGCATGTTTATTGGACAAGCGGGGCTGCTGCTGTTTCTGTGTCTCTCTCTTCTGCTCAATCTCAGTTGTTCCAGGGAGAGTTTTGCCCGCATGTGGCATTGGCTAAGCCTGCTGATTGGAGATGGAGGGATCTGGGGAGGTGGATTCACACTTGGAGTCGGCTGACTGACTACAAGGAGGAACAAGGAGGTCAGGTGGAACGGGATCCGAGAACACTGTACAGTAAAGAGGGTGACGTATACAAGACTGTATTGACATACACTGCTCTGGTTAAGAGAACTGTTGAACTAAGTCCAGTAACAGGTTTCTCCCCGCACCATGGTTGCGCACACACAGGTGGACATGGCTGAACTGTCTGAGGTGCCGGCTGAGTTGTGGGCCCGTGACAGCCACCCCTCTGGTAGTTTGCCCAAGATCAGATTTCCATCCTTGTGTGAAATAATATCCAATTAAACAGGAAGCGCATGAAGGTATTAAACCGGTTTTTGACTCATTGTTACAGGCTGGAGTCATCGTTCCATGCCCTGACTCCCCTGTGCTCACACCCATTTTTCCAGTAAAGAAAGTCCGGGAAGAGGGTCAACCTACAGAATGGAGGTTTGTCCAAGACCTGCAGGCAGTAAACGCAGCTGTGCATCCGCGAGCACCAGAAGTGGCAAATCCACACATGACACATGCTACACATTTTTCAGTTTCTTTTCTTTTTTTTCAGTACCAGTCAGCTTCACCAATCAGGTTTGCTTTTTCCTTTAATGGGAAAAGCTACATGTGGTTGCGCTGTCCCATGGGATACTGCGAATCCCCTGAGGTTTTTCACAGCGCACTACATGATAGTCTCCAAAGTTTACATCTACCGCACGGTTCGGTTTTGTTGCAGTACGTCGATGACATCATGGTCTGCAGTTCCTCCCATGAAGCATGCAAGCTTGATACCATTGTGATGCTAAAGCATTTAGCTCACAATGGCCACAAGGCTAGTCTGTCTAAATTGCAATTTGCCCAGACAGAAGTGAGATATCTGGGGCGCCACTGTAAATTCTAGTTGCTATGCATGCATGACTGGAAAGCTGCGCTCTAGGCAGATGTCTCTGCCTTACACAGCCTGCGCGGAACGCTCGCATGTAGTTTCCAAATTTAAACCTACAAAATCGACATGGCCCTGTTAGACACTTATGCTAAATGTCCGCTCCTTGACACCGCAAACACTGTTACACCTACTCCTCAGAACACCACGTACCAGTAGCGATAGACGTCAAATTTGAATGTTTTCACCGAGGTGAGACTCATTCTAAGGTTCACATGACTGATCGGTGGGGCATTTTCCTGGTGTGTGCTCACACACCTGGGACTGTACCACTGAATGCACTGTAGACGACCTCCCAGACTGCCACACTGCATACGAGCTTAACGCTGACATGCTGTCACGCCAAGTCCGTGCCATCCCTGAACTGTATGTGGGAGTGGCCATCTGTACCAAACTCTGCCTGAAGGATGGAGAGGTAAATTACATTTACTTTACGCAGCAACTTTATTCTAACCTCAAGCGTGATGCTCTCAGGGCTCTGGGAGCACAGATGCATGCTACCTCCCAGATGGCCTGGCAAAATAGGCTGGCGTTGGACATGTTACTGGCGGAGAAAGGAGGCGTTTGTTTCATGTTCGGTGATTCATGTTGCACGTTTATCCCCAATAACACTGACAGAAACGGTTCTTTCACTTTAGCGTTGTCTAAACTGGAAACTCTAGCTCAAAGCTCATCCATTTGTCAGTCATCCATCTGTATCTGCTCTGATAATGACCCTAGCAGTGTTCGCCCTGGTAGGATGTTGCGTCATTCCCTGTATCCGAGGTGTCATAGGCAGGACTGTCTCTCTCTCGCCCACTAGATGTTGTCCCTAGCTGAGCATCTGGCAGATACTGACTGGGTCCCTCCTTTTCAGTATGTTGATTGTTTAGATCAAACTGTGTATTTTCAACCTTTTTTGCTTGCTCATAACTCCAGGATGTCTATGTTCTACAAGAACAGCTAAGGCTGTTTTGTTTCAACAGTAAAATGAGAACATTTGTTGATGTGCTGACAATTTTCTATACTTAAGATGTCCATATATGGCCAGAGTGAGGATTGTAAGGGCCTCTCACCAGGAATATAATTTCCACGACAGAAACCTCTTAAGGGGTCAGAATATGGCAAATATAGTAAATATCATGACGACATTTAGTTTAGGCTTTGCCTTGATGCCTAGACCTGCCAACAAATGCCTATTGTTAGAAGAAAATAAAACACCCCACATTTCCTTAGACCTGTAGACCACTAACCTGTAGACCACTACTGACCTACAGAATCAGCTGTACTGCCAATCTCCTGCTTCTCTCTCTCTCCCAAAATATCTTCAATATCGATCTTGTCAATGAATGTAAGGATATAGCATTAACAGGGACACTATGACATTTAGTTTTCACTGACAACATTCTATGGGGACTGATATTGTTTTAAATAGAGATAGGTAATATTATTGGCGTTCACATTATCAACACTAGTGTATTCCATAGCCAACTAAAATATCCCCTTCCCTTAAGTAACACCTCTAACTCCTAACCTTCTTCTATCCCATAAATTATCTTGTATTGATTGCTAACTCTTACTTCTTTCCCTAGGCATCCATCCATCGTCAACCGCTTATCCTGCATACAGGGTCGCGGGGGATCCCAGCTGACATCGGGAGCAAGGCGGGGTACACCCTGGACAGGTCGCCAGTCTATCGCCGGGCCACACATAGGCGAACAACCACTCACGCTCACACAATTTAGAGTAACCAATCAACCTAGCCTGCTTTTTTGGACGGTGGGAGGAAAGAACACCCAGAGAGAACCCACGCAGTTGGGGAGAACATGCAAACTCCACACAGAAAGGCCGGGGCAACCGGGGTTTGAACCCACGACCTTCTTGCTGGCGACAGTGCTAACCACCACACCACTGTGCCCTTTCCCTAGGCATTTACCACATTAATGCCATTCGTGCTATTATCTCTTACTAGTATTTACTGCTGCTCTTACTAGTATGTATTGTCAGTTGTAGATCTCGTGCTATATTTGATGCTCTGTTGTTGCTTGTATGTTGTTCCTCAAATGTAAGTCGCTTTTGATAAAAGCCTCTGCCAAATGAGTAAATGTAAATGTAAGATTGATGCAAACTGCACAGGTTGAAGGCAGAATTGTGTCATAGCGGGAGGAGGCTTTCTGGGAGGTATACTGATGTGAATGTGTGTCTGGTATGACATTCCTTAAGCCTGGTCTAAGTGATTGAACAGTTAAAAAAAACAGTCCCCATCATGCCTGGCGATAAATCGTGCCAGGATGCTGAAACAGAACTGCTTCCCCTAGAGAGGCATCTACCTCCACAATGAATTGTTTTGAGGTGCCAGAGTGAATGAGAATGAGTGAAGAGGTCTTTTAATTTGGTTAACACCAGAGCCACTTTTTGACTAAAAGTACCGGGGACTTTTAAGTCCCCAGATCTCTTTTTAAGGAACTAAAAGGTTCCTTCAGCCCACTGTTGTGTATGTTTCCACCGTGGTCTAAAGACCTGCGGAGGTTAGGCCAATTAACCAGATGACGTAGGCTGTAGGCCTGACTGTACACAACGATGCACAGGCATCATTATCTGTAACCACTATCCATGAGCTAAATTTATAAATGATCATCAGATTTGACTGAAGTATAATTAAAAACTATTGGCTTTGCTTGACCATTAAGGCAGTTTTTTTGTGTATACAAGTATAAGTATAATGAAGAGACATGTGATAAAGTTCTTTCCACATTTAATAAAAAACTGGATAAAGCCATCAAGTTCTTAAAATAACTCCATCACAGAGAAAGCAACACAAAAATAAATAATAATCAGATGTTCTGTTTGTTTTGGAGAAGAGGAGGCCGACTTTGGCTCTGTCTTAAAACAACAACTTCGGACCTAGTATTTAGCAAAGGCTACTTCCATCAGCTGTTCCCTATAAACACACAGCTGCGCTGGCTGCCATTTCTGAGTAATAATGCCGACATACGATCTCAGGTCTACAGGGTACCAAACATACTACTGCTACATGCTACTTTGAGGATGTAACGAGTCAATAAAACGAGTGCTTCAGTCAAAACAACTTTATTGTATCATTGACTATTGCACTGATGAGTTCAGGTCTGCAGCTTCTGTTGTTCAGTGAGCACGAGGAGACAGTCTTCCCTCTGATCTGTCTGCCAGCACATCTGGACAGGCTTCCTCTGTAACAGTGAACAGCACAGAGGTGGATTAGGTAAAAACTGAGTGTAATAGCAGAGTGTTGAATACTTACTATTGAGGATGCATGTGTGTGATCATATATTCATAATGTGCTCATGTGGACACTCACAGCACTTGTAGAGTGTGTTGAGCCTGGCGATGTCATTGCGGCTCATTTCCTTAGCGTTGCCAAAGGACACGTTGGGATTAGGGATAGGGACCATGGTGGGCTGGTTGTTCTTGGAGAAGGCAGTCCTGCAACAAGACACAGAGCAGTTAGACTGAACCACAGCACTCCTGCAAACACAGACATGTATGACTACACACAGCAGAGCTGAAGTGAAGGCAGCTGTTGTCACCTGTGGTACTGCATGACAGAGTTGTAATCATAGGGAGTGCCCTGGTTGAGGGTTGCAATCTTCCTGAAGTTGTGCTCCATTCCTAAAGAAACAACAGGAAGGAAGTTAGCGTTTGTTTGGTTTTAATTCACTTTAACTCTGGACAGAAAGGAGTCAAGCTGCTGGAGAAAGAGCTCCATCTCTTTTTTTTCCACATTTGCTTTTATATTTCAGAAAACTGCAGTCACTCAAGTAGCTTCTTTTCGTGTAGAATCAGTGTTTTTTCCCAAAATTATGATGGCTGTGATGTTCATCATCTTTTAGTCCACTAGGAGCAGGGGTGCCGTATAGGGGGGGAAAGTTAGGGCAATTCCAAGGGCCCCTGGCTGACAGGGGCCCCAAAAAATAGGTAAAATGTATTATCAAATTATATTTATATAAACCATCATCATTGAGTGTTTTAAATTGGTTCAATCCCTGGCTCCCCCTGGTTACGTGTTGAAGTGTCCTTGGGCAAGATACTGAACCCCGAATTGCCCCTGGCGGCTATTGTATGAGTGGCCGCCAGTGTATGAGTGAGTGTGAATGTTAGTTTCTGTTTGAGCACTTAGGCTCAGTGTATGAATGTGTGTGACTGGTGAATGCTGATGTAGTGTAAAAGCGCTTTGAGTGGTCGAAAAGACTAGAAAGGCGCTATACAAATACGGAGCATTTAAATATAATAATAAATGGAAGTTAATAATCTCTTTGTTTTTGGCAATAGAAGTTGCAAATCCCCATTGACCAAAAAGTAAACCTCCATACTGACCGACCACCCCCCTGTATCTGCATGAAATGTTTGGTCCTGCCTCAGCGCACTGTATCAGTGACGTGTTTAGCTGCAGCCAGTAGATGCCCCAGAAATACAGTGAACACAATGTTGCCTAGTAAACCAAAATATGGTTTTCAAAAAAGGAAAGAGAAAAGAGAGAGAGGAAAGTCAAAGGAAAGGATGTCAAATTGCAACCCAGTTTTTCACCAAGAAAGGTGGGCAGTCTTTAGTCTGTGAGTGGTGTTAACCTGTTGGCTTAATGTCCACAGTGAATAAGCTAGCTAGCTACAGACTAGTGTTAGCCTACATTTCATCAACTTTTAATCAGTGCAGGGAGGCTGTGGGGATTTCTGTCTCTCTCTTTATCATAACAAAAAGATATTAATGACAGAAATTCAAACACAGATTATTTTCTCACATAATAATCATTCAAAAAAAAACAACAACTCCTGTCTGTACTGGATGCTGTAGATTACTTGAGCCTGCATGGAAGTTACAGACAATATTAAAATAATCCAGTTTTATACAGTTTTATTCAGATTTAATTATGGCCGTTAAATGACATCTATAAATAGTTAATTTTAATATAAAAATACATTGAGACTGTAAAAGATTGCCTTAAGGACATTTTTTATGGTGGCTTTTAATCTTGCATCAAATAGTGAACTGCATCCTGTATGCAGACTTGCATGTACAAATCACCAGCAATAAATATTGTGCTATTGAACTACAAGAAACAAGACGTTTGCAAGCCTTTAATTAGAGTCATGTAAAGCTTTTGATGGGACAGTTATGTGGTGACAACAGCGGCACAGAGGGGGCCCAATTAGATTTTTTGTCATGGGGCCCAAAGTTTCTGCCGGCGCCGCTGACTAGGAGGAAAAAGGAGCCACCATACACAAGAGGATCCCCTAAGTTATAACCCCTAAACCCTAACCTTACCACTGTGCAGATAATGTTGAAAAGGAATTTGTTACAAAAATGTACTTTTAAAGAAAGCTGTGACCAAATCTAACATGAGATTTTGCAAAATTGTCCTATTGTATCATTTATGGGGCTATAGAGTTGTGTTATGAGTGTATTTTTCACAGAGTTTAGCTGAAGGTGAAATAAATTTTAGGCCAGTATAGCCTTTAAGGGAAAACAACTCTATTTGATCGTTCTGGTCTGCAGTATACTTCCTTCTCTAATATTCCATTCTGAATAATAAAAAGCTATATTACCAGAAACAACATTCTGCAGCAGGACTTTGATGTGGTTGTCCCTGTCAGAGCGGGTCTGTTCATGGTTGAATCCCAGAGCGTGGAGCAGCTCATGCTGGACGGTGCCATGGTAAAGGCATCCTTGACGGGCCAGAGACACCACCTGCTTACCACCACGACGGCCAACCATGGAGTAGCAGCTGGACAGGATCAGAGAGGAGTTGAAGAACAGGGAAGTCTGAGAAAAGCTTTCAACTCAAACTGGTTATATTTAACAGTTTCTTACCCATTCTTGGACTCAATGCTCAGCCAGTCACGGTCATTGCTTTGGGTGGGCCTGAAGCGGATGCAGGAGAAAGAGGAGAAAGACTCCAGTCCTCGGATGATGATGGCCTTCTCACGGTCGGCTGGCAGGATGACACAGCACAACTTTTAGCTTTTTCTCATATCACAGCTAGAAAAACAGTACCATTATTTGACTTTCCCGGAAATTAAATTTTATTGTATTATATTTCAGACAATTGTGTACTGCAAACATTCTTTTGAAATGGAAAGTAACAACTGCTTCTACAGGCAGTTTTATAATGTGGTTTATTTAATAGCTTATATACTAATAGATTACTTGGCAAGCACTAGAAGCGTTTGGTGATTTTTGTGACAGCTTGTGTAAGCTGACAGCTATTGTAACACAAAAGGTTAGAGAGTGAGACTGACCAGTTATCTGACTGCCCATAGGAAAGCAAAACCCAAGAAGAGATCTCATAGTTGCTTCTTTCATTTCTCCTAGATACAAACTAGCTACTTTTAATACTAAGGTGAGACCAAAGGCCTTTTCTCCTACTTCTCAAATTCAACTCAGGAGAAACAACCATATAAAATCTCATTTATGTCTGACTCAGATCAAAACAAAATAAGGGTACTTTAAGTATCCAAAATGTGGATCACATTCAAGCAAAAGGTACAAAAGTATTCCATGGTGAATGTACTTAAGTATCAAAAGTAAAAGTGCTCATTCTGTATGAAATTATTATATCTCAGAAATTGCGTTGAGTCCTTAAGGAATTAATCTCTAAACATCATCATGTCAAAGTGGTGTGTGTTCCAGTTAAACTGGATGTGACTAACTTAACAAATTGTAAAACATGAAATTTGAAAAGGCATTTTTAATTTTTTTTTTAAATTTTATATTTTATTCTTCTTCTCTGTAACTTGTAACTACAGGGTTCAGATAAACAGTAATAAATACAATAAGTATAATACAGGATATGAAATTCAGGGGATTAAAAGTATAAAGACCCCTAAAAAGAAAATATATAAGTACAAGTACCCCCAATTGACTTAACTAAGACAAACTGAGACATATTTTGGAGCTTTTTTCTGATCCACATTCTGGAGATTTAAATGACATTTATTTAAGATAATGTAGAGATTTCATCTTTTTATCAGAGTAAGACACAGATGAGTTATTCGCTCCTCAGGTCACTATGAAAAAACAGACATATTAGAGAAGAATCATGAGATCCCAGGAGTTTTCTTTGAGCTTTCTCTGCTCTCATGGTCCCATGTTCAGGAGACTTAAATTAGACGTATTCAAGATAATTTAGAGATCTAAGTAAGACATAAATGAGATTGTACATGGTTGTTTCTCCTGAGTTGAATTTGAGAAGGATGAGAAAAAGCCTTTGGTCTGCCCTTCTTATTAAAAGTAGCTCATTTGTGTGTAAGAGCAATGAAAGAAAGAACTATGAGATCGCTTCTTGAATTTTGCTTTCCTACAGGCAGTTAGATCTCTGCTCAGTCTCACTCTCTAACCTTTTGTCAAAGTTGCTGCTACAACACTCTGCATCAAACATGCAAACCTACCGTATAAAGGCAGAGCATATTTGTCTGACACTTACAGAAGTGATTGGTGATGTAATAAGGAACGTAGACTTTCCCATCAGTCCACTTGCCCCACATGCAGCCTTGGCTGGTGCAGGGGTCGGCGTTTTTCTCGGCCGAGCTGTCAATGGCGATGTCTCCTTCAATCAGGTTGGGATCATCAGCAGAACGGACTGAAACACATCACACAGACACTGCCAATAATAGAAGAAGAAAATGAGTTGAAACACATCAGGCCGTCATGAGGAACATGGTGACTCACTCAGATTACTGTTGGCTCTCTCCAGAAGTTCAGAGACAGAAAGCTCCCCTGAGTCCTCCTCTGCAATGTCCTCTGCTTAGTGACATCAACAACAACACAATTTAACTTTGTATGAAAAGGCACCAGTCACAATACTGTGCACGCCAATACAATGGGTCTGATCAATACAGTAGATTACATACCTGCCTGCAGGTTCAGAGTGGCATTAGGGGAGAAAAAACAAAGATTAGAAATAGAACACCATGACTTGAGATTACAGCTAAATGTTGACAGCATTTTCAGCCAAATATTCAAATACTGTCGTAAAGTGGACTCATTGCATTAAAACAAATCTAGTTACAAATCTGGTTAATCAGCATCATACAACTTCATGTTTGCAGATAAAGTCAACCTTATCACCCAAATGGTCAAATCATCCTCTATGAGAAATGATCATATAGTCCTTAAAACTGTGCCAAAATAGTGAAAATGGTGCTGAAAAAACTCAACTGTGAACTTTGAATAAATATTCAAATAAATCTCCTAACAGAATATTTGAGGATGTGGAGAAGATGACAGGCTTCATATGAGAGAAGTCATTCTCAGTTTGTGACTGTGACAGTCGAGGTAAAATATGCATGTTGTGCATGATGCAACACGACAAATGACCAGATATCACACTATGCTATCATTGTTGACTGTTATGCTATGATCCTACCTCATTGTCGGCCCAACAACAGGCAGACAGTAGCAGCAGAGCCAGAGCTGAGAACCTGAACATGCGAGCCATCTTAGCAGACCTGCAGGACACAGAACAAGAATCAGCTACAGCTTCCACTCAGAGGAAAAATACAGTGCTGGAACCGAAAAACAAACAAACAAGAAAAAAGAGACAGCTAAATCTTCACACAGCGAAAGAAAGTACACACTTCTGCAGACATTGCAGCTGAACTCACCTTGGATCCTCTGTGTGGACTTGTGCAGCTGAGGTTTCACTCCAGGCTTTTATATATGTTCAACTGTGTCAGTAAGCCCAAATATGGATTATCTGGGTTCTGAGAAACCCAAAGAATCAGTAAACTCACAGGCTTATCAGTCACATGTGGTTCAGCCAGAAAAACTTCCATATCACTCTAGATGGGAAAAAGGACACCTGTTGCATTTACCATCATACTATATAACACAAAGAATTAATGGAAAGAAGTTACAGTCATATCTGATTTGTTTGTCATATCTCACTTTCCATTTTCATGGACTGAATTAATTTAACACAGGGTTGCAAAAAAGTGTGATTTAGGTCTACAATCATGTACGATGGTATACTGAGGCCATTGTAGGTGAACAAACAAAAATAAATAAATTAAAGCTTTAAGCAGAAATGGACAGGCCCCCGCTCCTGGACGCGCTTTGAGGCCTGTTGCGGCTGAGGCTGAGGGGCAGTTCCTGGAGGTCGTCGACGCTGCTCTGAATTATCATGTGCTTTGGATGCCTTACTTTCTGTGTAATTTAGGGCATAGCTCCAAGAGGCTTTTTGTGTGTCTTGGGATGATGCATTTTGCCACAGAAATTTTGTTCATCTAGGTCAAACATTGCATACGGGCTGTTGCTTTAAAGGGTCACTTCCTGTTGCCAGTAGGGGTGTGGAAAATAACTGATTTTGAGATGCATCGCGATGCACACTTGGACTCGATTCGATTAACAAATGTCAATAATCAATTATTAGGTTAACTGATAACGTAATGTTCCGGACCGTCTGTGCGGTGCACACAACGGAGATGTGTGGTTTTTCCTGTTTAGCACAGACAGGCAGCTATTGAGTGAGTTGTAAAGTCATTGTAAAGTGTGTAGTTCAACCCCCATCTGACTCTATACTAACAGCAGCCTCATAAATAAAAATAGCCACAGCAGAGGTCAGTAATAACGCTGTAATAATGTAATAATGCTATGCAATGTTAGCTACATTTACATTAAGTAACATTAAAAAGCCGCATTTCATTACTACCTACTACTTTGGATGGTTGCAAATACTTTGCTGTAAAAGTACCAAATAGTCAAACAGTGAGAAAAATTCATCTTTATCCTATTCGTTTTACAGTCGCATCGTAGCCTCATAATTGTATGAGGTGCCAAGAAATTCCCACCCTTGAGGTGACGCACCGTGATGCATCGAGTAATCGAATCGTTGACCTGATCATCATTTTTGAATCAAATCGTGAGACCAGTGAAGATCCACACCCCTAGTTGCCAGTAGATGGCGCTATGATTATGAGTGAATTTTGGCCTGTAAATGTGTTCAGGGCATCATCCTTATCAAACATGTGAAATATGGTACAGATTTGAGCATGTAATATGAAGTTACAATGATATCCTGTTTTCTGGCAAAACATCAAACTTCAACACGGATACGGATACGCCGTAAAGCGAAAACTCCCAAGATTCATAACATTGTCAATGTACATCACAGCATAAAACTTAAGACTTCCTGTCACCAACACTGTATAAAATTTGGCACAGATTTGGGGAACAACTTCCTGTTTCATGGCAAATCATCGTTCCGCACCATGCCACGGACACGTCCTTTAAAAAAACACAGAGATAGCACAACTTTTAATTTTCACTGCTTTCAGATTGCACAGCAAAATTTTGGAGTTGACAAGATCAATTCTCTATAGGGGAATTTGTTAAAGAACGGACCCTGTAAAACGCTAAAAAATGACCAATAAATTGAAAATGGACGGCTTCCTTTTGGATTTAGGGCATCAGAGACTGCTTTTTAGAAGGTGCCATTTTGCCAAGCCAATGCGCGACAACCATATGACACATAAATTTCCACCATGTTTGAATTTTGTGTAAAATTTTGTGAGCTTTTGAGCACCTTTAGGCTGTCCAAAACGCGATTTATTTGGGATAATAAATGAAAAATTGAAAAATCCAAGTCCATGAAAGTGGCAACAAACAACAAAAAGTGAAACTAAAGAGGGCAGGGCACACACACTACTGAGCCTCATTTTGACTTGTTTTAAGGACATTACATCAAAGTTGGATCGGCCTGTAGTGTGGTTTTTCACTTTGATTTGGAGTGTGACTCCAAATCCAGACCTCCATGGGTTGATACATTTTTATTGCTGCTGTAAAATTGGGCATTTTTAACATGGGGGTATACAGATTGACTCGTTTTTGGAGCCAGCCTCAAGTGGCCATTTAATGAACTGCAGGTTTTGATAATTAAGTGTTGGCTTAATTTCTCAGCCCTGGAGATTGATGTTTGGACCATAGTCAGTGCAGAGGGAAGACAATATCCTCAATTTGATGTGTGCTAAGTTACATTAATTATTCAGTTGACCTCAGCTGTTTTATTCATTCATCAATTATAAATTAGATCGTATTTATTTACTTTATGAACCATGAGTATGACGCCACACACACACACACACACACACACACACATACACACACACACAGGTATACAAAATAAAAGCAACACCTGGGCAGTGTAATGAATTGAACGCTTTGTCATTCTTTTTCACCTTAAATACTAAAAGAGGAGCACTTCACAAACTAAGACAGTCTATAATAAAATTACTTCAAATTGCTATAACGTCAAATTAACTCATCTTTTCACAAACGCATTATTTATTAAAGGTATTGTATGAGACTGGATAAAAGGGAGTATTTGTTATTTTTTCCTTCCTATATCTTTGCAGAATAAAATAGGAGGTGTGTGTGTGTGAGTAGACTTACTGTATGTGCTGAGTGTGGCATTCAGAGCAAGACTAGAAAACAGGCTTATCTACTACTGCATGTGCTGCGTTTGATCACCTGTGTATGTTCATCAAGCAGCGTCACTGGGCTTTGTTCATGAAGGCCAACATGAGAATGACAGAAAATATGAATATTGCCGACCACCTGCTTGGGTTTACACCGAGTTTGGCTTCTGGAGGAATGTTTACTCTGTATTTCCATAAGAAAGAACTGCAAGTTCACTTTTGTTATAGTAAATGCTGGGACAACTTAATAATCTTTCAGGCCAAAATATACAGGGCTAGTAGAAACACAAACAGGCTGAGTTGAGGTCAAGATACATTTTATTTATTATTAGTATTAATCAGTTTCACAAGCAATTATACATGTAAGTGTAAACTTGTCATTATGTCATTAGACAATTTATTTCTCTTTAGGAAAACACAAAAGCTACTTTAATCAAATTCAGAATTTCTTTACAGCACACGTATTAAGCACAAGAGTTCTGTTTTGCTTGCAGATATCAATCTGCCTCATTTCCTCTTGACTTCCTGTTGTAAAACAAGGGAATTAAAAATATTGGCTGATAATGTGTACATGTGCACACAAATACACACATGGACATGCACAAACTATGGAAACTGAAGACAGAATATCCAGTTAGGTTCAACTAAATATCATCATCTTACTAAGATCACAGTGTGCACATAGCAATTTAGAAAAAAAACATCCAAACCCACAACCCACTTACTTTAATTGTAGGGGAACTGGTTTCTTTGCAGAAAAAGGCGATGTCTGGAAGCAGTTGAATCTGAAATAAATTCAAAAAGACACAACATGTGTAAAAGCTGCTTGAATTCTTACTAGTAGTGTTACAATGTACATGCACATACATAATCATTCTATGTGAGTGTTCACAAGTCTGTCCTGTTTGTCAGTAGAAAGAAAGTAAATTCTCAGAGAGTACTGTTGGTAGGTGGGTAAGCTAGTGGGTAGCCAGGTAGGTAGGTATTAAGATAGGTGAAAATGTAGGTAAAATATACTGTAGATATATAGAAAGCAGGAAGTCATTTTGTTGTGTAGGTACTAGGCTAAATGTTTAAAAGGTACGTACTACAGCTATAAAGGCGGTTCACCCGAAGGATGTCAACAGGACTCATCTGGTTGGCCCTGCCAATGGGTACATTGTTGTCAGGAATGGGCACGATGGTTGGCTCCCTGTTCCTAGAGAAGGCAAACCTATGGTGCAAATACAAAGTAGTGATGAGAGGTTTAAACTGTACAGCTGCCACCATTTTTTTTCATGTTCAACAAGAACCACAAGTTCATTTCCACAGAGCTAAATCACCACTGAAAGCTGATGAATGTCTACAAGCTGTGTTAGGAATCTTTTGGCCACTTGAGGGCAGAAGAACTCAACAACCAGGGGAAAACACTTAAGCTGACATATATCGCCTTATGAAGTTGTTCTGGTTAACAGGGTAGCAAACAATTGCCCTTTTCCAGAAGTTAGAGAGAAACATCACTGGTGATATTGATGTGGAGTCGTGTTTTTGTCACCTGGTGAATGTAATTCCAATATTCACCGTCTTTTAGCTCTATTTTGTTCTCTACCAACTCCTGAGTGAAATACCTGACTGTATACAGAATAGTTGCTAACTTTCTCTATTGCTCAGCAGGAAACAGCAGAGACAGTTAGCAACTAGCTAGGGAACATGGTGGAGCGTTTTGCAGTTAAAGAGCCAGATATTCCCCTCTTGGTAGATGGAAAGCAGGACAGAACTAAAAGGGGAGTGAATATTAAACATGTAGCAGTGAAGTAGTAAGAGATTATGTGTAAAACTTTAACTTTAACTTTTAACTTAAAATGTTGTCAGTAGGCACAGAGTTCACTGTAGTGTTGGGTGGTATGCCTCATATGTAACACACTCTCTTTGTAGGCATACCACTAAATTAACAAAATGTTAATGTTAAAATTGGACTGGAACGGAATCGCCAATCTTCAATATATCTGTCCAATCACTCAACCCTAATTTACAGCCCTTCTTATTTGCAAAAATGCATTTAAAAAAAGCTGATCTGAGGGTTCTCTTCATGGCCAGTATGAAGACAAAGCATGACTACAGCATCCAGTAACTCTTTCAACGTACACATGTGAGTGTTGTTTTAACACAGACTTGAACAAATGTGAATGCCTCCTTTAAAAATGGTTAGTTGTGTTATATATCTTATGCACTATCAACATTATATTGTCGTTATATATCATACCGCTCAGTGAGTGAACTGAGACGTTACCTTCCATAGTGCATGACAGAGTTGTAGTCATAGGGAGTGCCAAGGTTCCTTGTTTGGATCTTCCTGAAATTGTGCTCCATTCCTGTGAGGCATCACACAGCTCTATTATATTTTCTCTGTTTTATAACAGTTTGCCAGTCACAGTAAGTGAAACAAATGAATCGCTATATATGCAGGAAACTACGTCTGTCTTTATTAGTGCTCATACTAGTATGTATTGTCAGTTGTAGTTCTCATGCTGTATTTGCTTGATGATGCTTGTATGTTGTTCCACAATATATTAGTCGCTTTTGATAAAATGAGTAAATGTAAATGTCTATTTCTGTAGACATCCAGAGCTACTATATCCCTACTGAAATAATATGAGAAGGTCAACTCAAGTCATATTCTTATTTATCTATTTGTACTTTAAACCTTTCACTTGTGTTCTTTAAAATGATAAAAGGAAGTTGTATAAATTGTAAAACCCAAATTTGGTTGTTTTAGTGAAAGCACTATTAAAGTTACATCTATAGTCAACATAATAATTGTTAGTATGTCTGTAACCCACCAGCAATGACGTTTTGCAGCAGGATGCGAACGTGCGCGTCCCTGTCGGACCGGGTCTGTTCATGGTTGAAGCCCAGAGCGTGGAGCAGCTCGTGTTGGACGATGTGGTGGAAAACACAGCCTTGGCGATTCAAAGATACAGTCTGGCCCTGTCCACGACGCCCGATAAATGAGAAACACCTGAAAGAGAGCAACAAATAAAATAACCAATCAGTAACAAAAAATCACACATGGCTGCCCTTGACCTAAAACACACAGTGTTTGTTAGTGTAAGTAATGTCTATGAGAGCATTCATGCATGCATGTCTGCTATGTGCATTGTGAGCTCCATACCCTGAGAGGGACTGGATGTCTACAAAGTCCTCCTGGCCATTCAAGGGGGTGAAGCGGATACAGGTGGACTCGGCAAATGACCGCAGTGCTCGGATGATGGTTTCTCTTTCTCTTTGGGCTTGACAGCATAAAAAACATCTGTTTAGTGGCAGGAGAGTCTTCCAAGATAAGATCCAAAGTATAGTGGAGCACACAGAGAAACTTTTTAAAACTGAAGTTTCAACGTCCTAACACAGAACCAAAGTAAAAGTCCTGCCTTACAAATCTAACTTACAGAACTGATTGGAGATGCGGTAGGGTACATAGACATTGCCATCGGTGGCTTTAGGCCACAGGCAGCCTCGGGATGTGCAAGGATCAGCATTCTGCAGACCGGTTGGTATTGCTATGTCTCCAAACATCACTAGAGGCTCATCCAGGTTCTTTCCTGCAAAATGACATGAGGATGATCTTTTTAATCTCATTTTCTTGGTTTCACTGCTGTGTTAAGGGCTGGTCAAATCTGGGTCTGAAACAAGATTTCAGTCACAATGACGGTTCAGTTTGGAATGAAGTTTCTCTGTTAAATACTTCCAGGTACCAGCATTATGTATCACTTCTATGTTTTAATGCATATTTTTGATCTTTATGTAAGGTTAGAGAGAAACATACCAACATTAACATTGGCCCTCTCTATCAGCGTGGAGACACTGAAATCATCATCCTCAATGGTGTTGCCTGCGGAATAGAAACAGTTTGTTCATGTATAAGCTACATCATGTAAGAGTGAATGTTACTGTCTGAAAAGTAGCCATGTCTTACCAGAGTTCTCTTCATTCCTTTCAAAAGAAGCCTGTAATAATTACAATTACACAAATGGTAAAATACAGAAGAATGAATATGGATAAAAAGTATAAAATTAAAGAAAAAAAATCACATTTTGCTTTTTGCAAATTACCAAAGCATATTTGTTTAGGAAAGAAATGTCTTCTGATGCTTACCTGTATAGTAAAACTGTGGGCAGAGCAGAAGAGGACACTGAGCACAGCAGCCTGGAGGATCATGACTGGTTATAGGACAGCAGCAGCAGACCAAGAAAATGCCTGGGGAAACAGAAGTGTTCAAACTTATATAGTAGTAGGAAAGCTACCTTTCACCATAATATGACAGATGGCTCACCAAAGACTTATTGACAAATTCAGCTCAATTGTTACGGCAGTTATTGCTTAAAACAGACTTGTGTAAGATGTGGGCTTTGTTTTCTCCAGTCTGTTCCCAGGCAGGAGCAGACTACATGTTTTTACCGTCAATGATGTAAGTTTTGTATATCATTTTATCCACATTTTCTCAAAATTCAGCTAAAGTACAAAAACTAAACAAAAGAAAACTTAAATACTAAAAATAGACCCTTTGGTTACCCTATCTAAAGAGTTAACCTGGAAAGGAGGTTCTATTAGGTGATGATGATTACTTGATGATGCGCCTCTGATGCCACTTCTCTCATATAATGTTTTACTGAAAACATATGTAGAAAATTATGCTTTGAGACATCAAGAAAGATTTCATTTAATAGGGTGGTGAATAAAAAACACCAGCTTAAATAATTTGCTCAGTATAAGGGGTTATAGAAATACTGCAATATGTTACCAGTACCACTCATAGAATACAGCTGCAATTATGATTCTCCAGGCTGCAAGTAGGTGCACAGGGTTCACTGTGTGACTTTGGTGTTTTTAATGCTTTAAAACATCAAACACTGAAAAATCACAATAACACAAATAAACTAAAAGATCGAGGCAGCAGCACATCAGAAATTCCCATATTCTGTGAGTTTTTGTTTGTGTCAGTGCAGTACGCTGGCTTTTGCAGCTGTTTCTGTTAGGTTAAAAAAAAGTTCTATCTCTGTAGGGATTCCATAATGTTCATAACTTTTGTGACAGTGGCAAAAACAAGCACTGGACAGACGTGGACAAAATTGTTGGTACCCTTCCGTTAAAGAAAGAAAAACTCACAATGGCCCCTGAAATAACTTGAAACTGACAAAAGGTATAATAAATACAAATTAACTGAAAATTAACTGATGAAAATCAGACAGTGCTTTTGAATTGTGGTTCAACAGAATCACTTAAAAAAACAAACTAATGAAACTGACCTGGACAAAAATGATGGTACCCTGAACTTATATAACGTGATTTCTGTAACTCTCAATGAGACTTCTTCACTTGTCAACAGGTATTCTGGCCCTTTCCTCATAAGCAAACTGCAGCTGTTTCAGGTTGGAAGGATGCCTTCTCCAGACTGCACGTTTCAGCTCTTTCCACAGATGTTCAATAGGATTCAGATCAGGGCTCATAGAAGGCCACTTCAGAATAGTCCAATGTTTTGCTCGTAGACATTCTTGGGTGTTTTTGTTGTGTGTTTTATTATATAGAATCATTTTGGAGGACCCCTGACCTGTCCCTGAGACCAAGCTTCCTGACACTGGGCAGCACACTTGAAGTAATTTGTAGTTATTATTACTTTTGTCAGTTTCAAGTTATTTCAGGGACCATTGTGGGTTTTTCTTTCTTTAGGGTACCAACAATTTTGTCCACATCTGTACATTGATGGGTAGTATTACATTGCAGCCTTGTTTTGCTGGTGCTCTCACTCACACAAGCTCAATATTTTCAGCACGTGGTTTCACTTGGAGCTTTGCAAACACATTGTCTGAAAAACAACCAGCAGCAACGTACAGTATATTGTATACATATCCACCAACTTTATGTACATAAAAAGACTTGCACAAAACCAGCATTCTTTGCATTATGCTCCAATGCACTATTCTCATGCTGTATGTAAATGTTGTTTTTAGTTTACACTCACCTAAAGGATTATTAGGAACACCTGTTCAATTTCTCATTAATGCAATTATCTAATCAACCAATCACATGGCAGTTGCTTCAATGCATTTAGGGGTGTGATCCTGGTCAAGACAATCTCCTGAACTCCAAACTGAATGTCAGAATGGGAAAGAAAGGTGATTTAAGCAATTTTGAGCCTGGCATGGTTGTTGGTGCCAGACGGGCCGGTCTGAGTATTTCACAATCTGCTCAGTTACTGGGATTTTCACACACAACCATTTCTAGGGTTTACAAAGAATGGTGTGAAAAGGGAAAAACATCCAGTATGCGGCAGTCCTGTGGGCGAAAATGCCTTGTTGATGCTAGAGGTCAGAGGAGAATGGGCCGACTGATTCAAGCTGATAGAAGAGCAACTTTGACTGAAATAACCACTCGTTACAACCGCGGTATGCAGCAAAGCATTTGTGAAGCCACAACACGCACAACCTTGAGGCGGATGGGCTACAACAGCAGAAGACCCCACCGGGTACCACTCATCTCCACTACAAATAGGTTGCAAGAGCTCACCAAAATTGGACAGTTGAAGACTGGAAAAATGTTGCCTGGTCTGATGAGTCTCGATTTCTGTTGAGACATTCAGATGGTAGAGTCAGAATTTGGCGTAAACAGAATGAGAACATGGATCCATCATGCCTTGTTACCACTGTGCAGGCTGCTGGTGGTGGTGTAATGGTGTGGGGGATGTTTTCTTGGCACACTTTAGGCCCCTTAGTGCCAATTGGGCATGGTTTAAATGCCACGGCCTACCTGAGCATTGTTTCTGACCATGTCCATCCCTTTATGGCCACCATGTACCCATCCTCTGATGGCTACTTCCAGCAGGATAATGCACCATGTCACAAAGCTCCAATCATTTCAAACTGGTTTCTTGAACATGACAATGAGTTCACTGTACTAAAATGGCCCCCACAGTCACCAGATCTCAACCCAATAGAGCATCTTTGGGATGTGGTGGAACGGGAGCTTCGTGCCCTGGATGTGCATCCCACAAATCTTCATCAACTGCAAGATGCTATCCATCAATATGGGCCAACATTTCTAAAGAATGCTTTCAGCACCTTGTTGAATCAATGCCACGTAGAATGAAGGCAGTTCTGAAGGCGAAAGGGGGTCAAACACAGTATTAGTATGGTGTTCCTAATAATCCTTTAGGTGAGTGTATGTTCCTGTGTATGTATGGATCTGTAAATATCTGTTTTTTTGTTGAGCTTGTTGTCCTGTTACATTCCTTATATTTCTATACAAACACCTGATTAGAAGGTACATTATACATTTCACATGGTAATTTAATTTCCTTTCTATCACACATTTGTAATGTTCATTGTTTTACTTCTTTGTTGTTTGTTAATGTATAAAAAAATATTGCATATTGTTTTTTGTATTTATTTTGTTCTTGATTATTGTCACTGCACAGTTTATTAGCTAACAGCATATATGTTTAAATGTTTTTTAAATGACAAAGCATGTGTCAAATATAGTCCCTATGTGAGATTAAAGCTGAAAATTAATAAATTGTGAAGTTTTGTGATGACCATACCTATTATGTTTATGCTGTCATTAAGTCAGTCTCAGACAATGTCAAAACATTTCATGTTACCAAATTTACAAATAACATCTTATCATTACTTAAAGCAAAATCTTAATGCAAAGCAGTAAGTGTGTATTTGCATTGTCATTGTTCCTGTTTTCGCCAGGCTTTGCAAGACTATCTATGTGTAAACTAAACTCATATTGCAACTCTGCCCACAATTTGGAGAAGTCACAAAAAGGCTTTTGCAACTCTACACTTCTGATTTTAACCACAGAGAGGGGTTGTGTAAATGTGCAAACTGTTATGTTTAGTTATCTTGAGGACCCCATTGTAGACACAGAGACAGGAAAAAGAGAAATCACGGTAGATTTATTTATTAACACTTCACAAAAATGTGCAAATGAGGGATTCCCATGGGCAAAAACACTGAGCAAGGCTGAATTTCTCCTCTCTCAGACCAAAACATGATGCACAAGCAAAAAAGGCAGAGATCAGGCACAAAGTCAGGTAACATGATGCAAGGCGAGAGTACCAATATAGTAAATAGATGCTCTGGCAAAGAACAAAGTGCAGAGCCAGGTTTTATATTCTGCATGGTTGAATTGTGGAATCATCCTCAGGTGTGTAGAGGAGCCACTGTTGAGCTCATGATTGGTCCAGAGGAGAGGCCGGAGCGCCTGCTAAGCCCCTCAACCAAACCCACAAGTTTGGACAGCAGCAAAAGGAGGCGGTTGTACTGCAAAACTTCACCCAGCAAGAGTGTCTCCAAAACCCTGGACCTTATCGCTTCGACTCCTCTTCTCAAAGACGCCCCTCCAACACTTTGCAATCCGGGCAGAGTGCCCCAGGCTTCAGAGGCAGCTGCGACAAAGTTAAACAGTGAGATGAAAGGCCAGTACACCACTGTACCCCCTCTTTGCCACTTGTTGATGCGAGTGCATGGCATCAAACATACTATAAACAGCATGCGCAGATGTATATAAAATAGATTTAAAAGTACTAAATATGTATTAGAATTTTTTTTAATCTTAGAATTCATAGGTCAACTGGGTCATTTTACAAACCTGGTACTTCTTTAGGCAGTGAATCCGTTCTACAGTGCAGATCTTATGTGATCTGCAACAACTTCAAATCAGATGGGAAGAATGAGACCAAGACATTTCTAAAAAGAGGAAACTTGACTTGTCTTGTAACACGTTTGTTGATGTAAGATCCAATGAGAAAATGTACAGGCCAAGTAATAGAAGAGAACAGATTTCGTAAATCAGAAGATGAATTGATGAATTTAAGAAATGTGTGAGAGCAGAAATAGCCATTGCAATTTCCTTCTTTCCTTTCAAAAAACATTTTAAAGAACTGTAAAGAGTAAAGAATCTACAACTGCTTTACATTTTCAGAATTATTTCTTCAATAATCTACACAAAACTGCCATTTATTAAAGATTGTGTTGTCTGTCTGAGAAATCAAAATAGCGGATTGCTGCAGCCGGGCCACCGACAGGTAACCATGTGGGCCAGGCCGCCAACTGGGACACAGAGCTGATGGCCGATCTGTGGCATTAGTTAGTGAGACCCTGTGGCAGGACAGGACAGGTAGAGACAGTGCTGCACTTTCTAACCTCATGCCCTAAATATAAAACACTAAGACAAAAACGCTTTGCATTTCCCAAATATACCCCGAATTCAAATTCATATCAGACACACAGAAACACCCCTATTTACTGGGAGAAATGCCCAAATGTCAAATAAATGCTGCAAAATATCTCTCATCATGCCATGAACTGAGGACAACCAGTGGAAACTCAGACTGATAAATAATTTTCAAATTATTGTTATTTTTACACATTTTTCACATTTGATACATTGAGCAGGTTATATTTTTATTTTTAATCACTAAGTTACTCACTACTCAAGTTTTTTTTAGTAAATACTTCAATACTCTTACTCAAGTAGTTATTTTGATAGTTTTTGACAGTTTTTGGCTACTCTACCTCTGGAAACTACTAAATTAAAAACAAACCATGACCAAGTCTTGATATTATTGTTTCATCTCTCATGTTCCTTGCTGCACACCTCATGTCTCCCACTTTCCTTGAACTCTGTAAAACCATCGTCCTTTACTCTTTTCCACCCATTGCTTTTGCCACCTTTCAGTCACTCTCTGTTTCATAATGTTCTTGATTTCTGTCTTACTGAAGCTAAACACTTTTTTGTACATTTATCAAAATGTCTGATCTGCTGTCTAAATGAATGTTCTGTTAATAGGCTAGTGAAGAACTTGAGTCTAAATAAAATGATTGCTCTCAGTGGTATTGTGTCCTCTATCCACTGAAACTCTGAAACAATAAATGCTACTGCTGTTTTATTAAATAAACTCTTTGATGCATGTGTGTAGATCTGGAAAAACTGCAGTGACTATTAATGTATGTCTGTACGGCATGTGAATTCAAAATAAACTCCCTTTTCTTACTCTTATTTCCTAACAATGTAAAATCTACTGAGACATCAGCAGGTATCCAAGGTGGTATTTCTTGAAATGGTACAGTTGGACCAAAGTTTAATTTGGCTACTTTATGTTCTGTTGCTTTTTGTATTGCTGTCCATCCAAAAGCCTTTTCTCTCTCTCCTCTCCTTTTCCAAGGAAGGTCTTGACTGTGACCCTATAAATTAACCTAGTTATGCAATCATAGCTGTAATTTCTAGTGGCATTTCTCCCATTTCCACCTGTAATGCTGCTGGGGGTTGTTTTGAATTCAGCTGTGCATAATCTCAAAGCCTGACAGTAAACATGAACATGCTTTTTGACAGATGTGCTTGCTGCTGATCCACACACTACACAACCATAATCTAATATTGATCAAATTAATCCACTGTATATAGCCTGCAAAGCAGTTCTAAAAAAAATAAAAATAAAAGAAAATCCTGAATAGATCTTTTCTATTCTGACTTTGATCTTCAAAAATCAGATTAATAATCCTTCTCTGCACCTCATAACATATGCCTTCTCTATATCAAAAAAGACAACCACGACACTTTCCCTGTTTATCTGTTCATTAATTTCATGTTCTGGACATAAAAATCCATAGTAGTTCCTCTTTTCCTAAAGTCAGTCTGGTATTTGGATATATATCATAGTGTAGTTTCAAACTAGTATACCAGTAACATTTCACTACACCAGAACGTTGAACATTTTCTTACCTGTTTTATCCCAACTACACCTATTTGGTTTAACTTTCCACTTACCCACAACACCTTGATATTCTAGGAACTCCAATTCCTCCAATCTTTCCTGACTCTGATAAGGCCTGGAAAATTCTCAAATAAAGATTTCACAGGATGCTGACAACTCGGTTTGTCCACAGTGTAGGTATGGATATCTTTCCAATGCATGTGTCAGAACCATATGTTACCGATAAGCCTGTGAGTTTAGCTGACTCTTTAGATTTCTCAGAACCCAGATAATCCATATTTGGGCTTACTGACACAGTTGAACATGTATAAAAGCCTGGAGTGAAACCTCAGCTGCAAAAGTCCACACAGAGGATCCAAGGTGAGTTCAGCTGCAAATGTCTGCAGCAGAATGCAATGGAGAAGTGTGTACTTTCTTTCGCTGTGTGAAGATTTAGCTGTCTCTTTATTTATTTATCTCTTTAATTATTTTTTTGGTTCCAGCACTGTATTTTTCCTCTGAGTGGAAGCTGTAGCTGATTCTTGTCTGTGTCCTGCAGGTCTGCTAAGATGGCTCGCATGTTCAGGTTCTCAGCTCTGGCTCTGCTGCTACTGTCTGCCTGTTGTTGGGCCGACAATGAGGTAGGATCATAGCATGACAGTCAACAATGATAGCATAGTGTGATATCTGGTCATTTGTCGTGTTGCATCATGCACAACATGCATATTTTACCTCGACTGTCACAGTCACAAACTGAGAATGACTTCTCTCATATGAAGCCTGTCATCTTCTCCACATCCTCAAATATTCTGTTAGGAGATTTATTTGAATATTTATTCAAAGTTCACAGTTGAGTTTTTTCAGCACCATTTTCACTATTTTGGCACAGTTTTAAGGACTATATGATCATTTCTCATAGAGGATGATTTGACCATTTGGGTGATAAGGTTGACTTTATCTGCAAACATGAAGTTGTATGATGCTGATTAACCAGATTTGTAACTAGATTTGTTTTAATGCAATGAGTCCACTTTACGACAGTATTTGAATATTTGGCTGAAAATGCTGTCAACATTTAGCTGTAATCTCAAGTCATGGTGTTCTATCTATTTCTAATCTTTGTTTTTTCTCCCCTAATGCCACTCTGAACCTGCAGGCAGGTATGTAATCTATTGTATTGATCAGACCCATTGTATTGGCGTGCACAGTGTTGTGACTGGTGCCTTTTTATACAAAGTGAAATTGTGTTGTTGTTGATGTCACTGAGCAGAGGACATTGCAGAGGAGGACTCAGGGGAGCTTTCTGTCTCTGAACTTCTGGAGAGAGCCAACAGTAATCTGAGTGAGTCACCATGTTCCTCATGACGGCCTGATGTGTTTCAACTCATTTTCTTCTTCTATTATTAGCAGTGTCTGTGTGATGTGTTTCAGTCCGTTCTGCTGATGATCCCAACCTGATTGAAGGAGACATCGCCATTGACAGCTCGGCCGAGAAAAACGCCGACCCCTGCACCAGCAAAAGCTGCAAGTGGGGCAAGCTGAATGATGGGAAAGTCTACGTTCCTTATCTCATCAACAATCAATTCTGTAAGTGTCAGACAAATATGCTCTGCCTTTATACAGTAGGTTTGCATGTTTGATGCAGAGTGTTGTAGCAGCAACTTTGACAAAAGGTTAGAGAGTGAGACTGAGCAGAGATTTGACTGTTCATATACCAGAATCAAACAGATGGAACAGGGGATGTTTGCTGCTTACTGTTAATAGTAAACTCATTAAAGTTAAGTTAACGGTCAGTCACATACTCATCTCTTTTTGTGTTCTCTTCATGACATCCTGTGACAGCAGTATATCTTGGCAAGAAACGTAACTTTTAATAGATGAAATGTTCTCCTTCAAAGTAAATTTATTAATGAGAATTGCTGCTATAGCTTTACTTGTCCTGGTATGACTACTCGCTTGTGTTGGCTAATGCTAGCTAATGTTAGCTAAAGTTAACAAATGTTAGATATAGCTGCATAACTGGTATTTTGCAGACTATTTGATCATAAATTGTCCTGCCAGCCTCCCGTGAGAAGGCCATCATCACCCGAGGACTGGAGTCTTTCTCCTCTGTCTCCTGCATCCGCTTCAGACCCACCAAAAGCAGCGACCGTGACTGGCTGAGCATTGAGTCCAAGAATGGGTAAGAAACTGTTAAATATAACCAGTTTGAGTTGAAAGCTTTTCTCAGACTTCCCTGTTCTTCAACTCCTCTCTGATCCTGTCCAGCTGCTACTCCATGGTTGGCCGTCGTGGTGGTAAGCAGGTGGTGTCTCTGGCCCGTCAAGGATGCCTTTACCATGGCACCGTCCAGCATGAGCTGCTCCACGCTCTGGGATTCAACCATGAACAGACCCGCTCTGACAGGGACAAGCACATCAAAGTCCTGCTGCAGAATGTTGTTTCTGGTAATGGAGCTTTTTATTATTCAGAATGGAATATTAGAGAAGGAAGTATACTGCAGACCAGAACGATCAAATAGAGTTGTTTTCCCTTAAAGGCTATACTGGCCTAAAATTAATTTCATGGCTAAACTCCATTTATGACATTTCTGCAAAATCCCACATTACATTTGGTCACAGCTTTCTTTAAATGTAATTTATTTTTACAGAAATCATTTAAAAATTTCTTCTATATCTGTCTGGACCCGGGTAAGGTTCGGTGTTAGTACCGAAGTCCATATAGGCAAGTCCTGCCACTTGGCAGCCATCTTGGTAACGCCTTCGAGTGGTTATTTCAGAGCAACAAGACCAGGCCCCTATCTAAATGAATGGGGGGAAAACCACTGAAAAAGTTTGATCTGGTTTCTTCAAGTGGCATTTCTCCTCTTTAATTGTTTTTGTTAGTACTGATTGTTGGCATTCACATTAATCCTTAGGGGAAGAATCCCAATAATTTAGGTAATTCTCTGATCTGACAAAAAGTTAAAAATCAAAGTGAATTAAAACCAAACAGATGGTAACTTTATTCCTGTTGTTTCCTTAGGAATGGAGCACAACTTCAGGAAGATTGCAACCCTCAACCAGGGCACTCCCTATGATTACAACTCTGTCATGCAGTACCACAGGTGAGAACAGCTGCCTTCACTTCAGCTCTGCTGTGTGTAGTCATACATGTCTGTGTTTGCAGGAGTGCTGTGGTTCAGTCTAACTGCTCTGTGTCTTGTTGCAGGACTGCCTTCTCCAAGAACAAGCAGCCCACCATGGTCCCTATCCCTAATCCCAACGTGTCCTTTGGCAACGCTAAGGAAATGAGCCGCAATGACATCGCCAGGCTCAAGAAACTCTACAAGTGCTGTGAGTGTCCACATGAGCACATTATGAATATATGATCACACACATGCATCCTTATTAGTAAGTATTCACCACTCTGCTATTTTACCTAATCCACCTCTGTGCTGTTCACTGTTACAGAGGAAGCCTGTCCAGATGTGCTGGCAGACAGATCAGAGGGAAGACTGTCTCCTCGTGCTCACTGAACAACAAAAGCTGCAGACCTGAACTCATGAGTGCAATAGTCAATGATCATGCAATAAAATTACTAAAATTACACAGCCTCTCTTTGCCTTTATCTTCAGCAAAAATACAAATATTTGTACTTTTAGAGGATGTGGTAGTTTATATGTTTCATTTAGCAAACCCAGAGAGGAGTAGATACCCTCACCAGCCACTTTATTAGGTACACCTGTTAAATTGTGTGTTAACACTATTAACCAATCAGTCACAATCACATGGCATCAACTCAATGCATTTAGGCATGTAGACGTGGTCAAGACAACTTACTGAAGTTCAAACCGAGCCTCAGAATGGGGACGAAAAGGGGATTTAAGTGACTTTGAACGGGCCATGGTTGTTGGTGCCAGACGGGCTAGACTGAGTATTTCAGAAACGCACAACCATCCCCAGGGTTTACAGAGAATGGTCCGAAAAAGAGAAAATATCTAGTGAGTGTCAGTTATGTGGACGAAAATGCCTTGTTGATGTCAGAGGTCAGAGGAGAATGGGCAGACTGGTTCCAGATGACAGAAGGGAAACAGTAACTCAAATAAGCACTCATTACAACCAAGGTATTCAATAATAATAAACTTTATTTGTAGAGCACTTTTCAAAAACAAAAGTGCTTTAACAAGTGTAAAGACAATAATTCCCAAAAGACAATAATACAAAAACAATACAAGATAAAAGCATGAAAACACTGAAAAGACTAAAATACAAGTTTAAGATAAATATAAAACAAGTAAAATAGAATAAAATAAAATGGATAAAATAAAGTCAAATAAGATCGGGAAAGACTCTCCTATAAAAGTATGTTTTAAGAAGGGACTTAAGAGTTCACTGACTCAGCCGACCTGATTTCCTCGGGCAGGCTGTTCCAGAGCCTCGGGGCCCTGACAGCAAACGTACTGTCCCCTTTAGTTTTCAGTTGAAACTCTGGAACAGACAACAGACCTCTGCCCGAGGATCTCATTAATAATAAAAGGCGTGTAAAATGGTCTCGGTGTCCTTAAAAGTTAACATAGATCAATTTCTAAGTTGATAAAAACATGATTGAACAAGCTTTGTGGTGTGCTGCTCGAAATTTAAATTACTATCAAACCAAACACCAAGGTTCTTTGCCACAGGCTTAATGTGATTTACTAGGGAACCAGCAGATGGCAGTATTTGATTTGCCATGTGCTGGGACCCAGTGACCAGGATTTCTGTTTTGTCTGAGTTCAGCTGGAGGAAATTATTTGACATCCATTTTTTAACTTCACAAAGGCAGTTGTTAAGTGAACTCAGCATTCCAGGGTCTGTGGATCTGACGGGCAAGTATATTTGTGTGTCATCAGCATAAATATGAAAAGAAATGCCATGTTTATGGATAATATGTCCAAGGGGAAGCAGATACAAGGAAAACCAAATGGGTCCTAAGACCGACCCCTGAGGCACACCATATTTAACTGAACAGAACAAAGAGACATAGTTGTTTACAGACATGCAAAACTTCCTATTTGACAGGTAGGATGAAAACCATTCTAGGGCCGTACCAGAGATCCCCACCCAGTGCCTCAGTCAGTCTAACATGATGTTGTGATCAATGGTGTCAAAAGCAGCGCTAAGGTCCAGGAGTACCAGGACTGAGCACATGCCTTCATCAGCAGACATTAAAAGGTCATTGGTGACTTTAAGCAGGGCAGTCTCAGTGCTGTGGTACTTCCTAAAACCAGACTGAAACTTTTCAAATAATTTGTTATTTTCCAGTACAGTGAGCAGCTGTTTGGACACAATTCTTTCTAGAATCTTTGCAATAAAAGGCAGTTTTGAGATTGGTCTAAAATTATGTGGGAGGGAGGGATCTAAACCAGGTTTCTTTAAAAGTGGGTTCACACAAGCCGTTTTAAAATAATCAGGGACACAACCAGTAGATAGGGAGCTGTTACAGAGATCAAATGGAGCCCAACAGAATCTATTACTTTCAGTAAAAACTTTGTAGGTATTAGATAGAAGATAAAAACAATTCACAGTCATCATTACTTCCAGCTGAGGCACAAGGAGGGGTTGGGTTTACCAGCTGATCCACAGTCTTGAACAGAAACCTGGGATTGTGTTTATGTGTAGTAATGAGTTCAGAAAAATAGTGTGTTCTCGGGGTCCCACTCCTGTCAGCTAAGAACAGGAAACTGAGGCGACAACAGAAGACTGGAAAAACGTTGCCTGGTCTGATGAGTCTCGATTTCAGCTGAGACATTCAGATGGTAGGGTCAGAATCTGGTGTAAACAACATGAAAGCATGGATCCATCCTGCCTTGTACCAACGGTTCAGGCTGCTGCCGGTGGTGTAATGGTGTGGGGGATATTTTCTTGGCACACTTTGGGCCCCTTGGTATCAACTGAGCATGGTTTAAATGCGACAGCCTACCTGAGTATTGCTGCTGACCATGTCCATCCCTTTCTGACCGCAGTGTACCATCTGCTGATGGCTCCTTCCAGCAGGATAAAGCACCATGTCACAAAGCTCAAATCATCTCAAACTGGTTTCTTGAACATGACAGTGAGTTCACTTTACTCCAGTGGCCTCCACAGTCACCAGATCTCAATCCAATAGAGCCCCTTTGGGATGTGGTGGAATGGGAGATTCTCATCATGGATGTGCAGCCGACAAATCTGCAGGAACTGTGTGATGCTGTCATGTCAATATGGACCAAAGTCTCTGAGGAAGGTTTCCAACACCTTGTTGAAAGTACGCCATGAAGAATTAAGGCAGTTCTGAAGGCAAAAGGGGGTCCAACGCAGTACTAGCAAGATATACCTAATAAAGTGGCCAGTGAGCATAGATCTACAGTATATATAGCACCTGGACAAGAGCTTGCTGTTTAGTTTGGGGGAGATGGAATGAATTTAATGCTATACATTGTTTTTTTAATAGCAGACAGTAATGTTCCAACATCACCCCATTTCCTCAAGAGGTTTCAGGGAAATAAAAAAACAGTCTTGAATATATATCTGTCATAGGATTTGATGAGCCTGATCTCAACCCATAATAAGAATGTAATACTTCAGTTTATCAGTTAATTTGTCAACTTTATTCTTATGTTTTTACAGTTCTAAAACAGATTACTCAAACTATGTGACCATACAATGCTTTAAAAGAGCTAAGAGCCGTTGCTTCCACTTCCACTGATAACATCTGCCTCAGTTTAACAGCTGGGCATCCTGAAAATCTGACAAGTCAAAAAATCAGCTAGAGATTATTGGATGGCTTCTTTAGGGGCCTGGCGTTTTTGTAGATACCATCAGTCACTTTTATTGAATCTAATTGTTTTTACTAATTATATTGACTTGCATTAAAATCAATACTGTATCTGTTTTGTAAATAATTAATTATTTCATATTCATAAGTATAGCAAATACAAACTTGCCTTAAATCAATATAAATATATTGAGATATCAGACATATTAAATGTTCATGGAATGAACAGTTCCCACTACACATTGGCTACATATTTGTATGCCTGGTGTTGTCACAGTGGGTGTTTGTGCTGTGGGTAAGAGCAGAGGAGTGTCATTTTCTTTTCTCAGAGGGACAGATTAAATTCATTTCAAACTCAGCTCTCCAACACAAAATCTAACATCCCTCCAGGACCTCTACTCCTCTAATACCAAAACTTCATGCCCCCAAAACAGTTTCTTTCCATCTGCAGCTGGCCTCATGAATAAGATCCCGACTGACACTGCGACCTGTCCCAACCTCAACCACCAAGTAGGTCGTCCATGGCTCCCAAAACAACACATTCATGTCTTTCCAGCAACAGGTGACCAGACCATAACTACGTTACTATGTTGTGTCCAAAACAAAGTCTCACAGGAGGAGTTTCAGCTGTTTCAACCATAAGCCAGAGAGAGATGATGAACTAATCCAACATTAAAGACCTACAGAAGCACTGTTCTGGTGCGGTAACAGTAATGCAACACATCGTATTGTCCAGTCATGGAAATTCCAATTATAAAAGGAATATTTGGTATCTGGAACATTGTTGAAGCAATGGAGCATGTGACAGCCTCACATGCAATTGGAGCAGTTTGGACCGTTTATCAAAGGATGCCATAATGACTTAACAAAGACAGCTGAGTAGCAAACCAGCTCAAACAACAACTCCACTTTGGAGACCTGCAAGATTTCTACAGTCTCAACAAAATACTTCACTCTAGCTTCACAAGAAAGTAGGCTGGAGCACAGAATGGACTCAGTACAGCGATGTCATCATTGGATAATTGCCGCCTGTGGGATGCAGGCCAATCACAACAACATGTTTGCATTCAAGAACAGATCATGTAGAGCTCTCCAAGTTCACATGATCATCACCTTATGGTCACAGCGGTCTGAAATAAAGTTCATCGTAAAAGAACATGTTCTGAGCCGGACAAGGCCAGAAACTGCTGTTGGAATAAAGAGGCCGAATTTCACAGCATCTTACTGACAGACGAGAGGACCTGCAAGCTGAAGATTCAAGACAGAGGTGGACATTGGTACACAGAGATTGTCTGGACAGATCCAAAGCAGATCCAAATTGACTGAGCTGGAGGGGGCGGGACGGACGCCAGTGACAGGAAACAGCTGGGACACACACACACCGGGTGAGTCACAATTTCTCACAGAAAAATAAAATCTTAAACACATTGAAGCAAAAAAACAGAAAAACTAAATATTATATTAATTTATTAGTAAATGCTGATGAGCCTGAACAGCCTACATTGGTGATGAATGATAACTACAAAGAGTTTAGGAAACTGCCAAAGTAACTGTTAGTAAATTTAAACCTAGCAGGGGACAATATTGCTACATGATATGTTGAAAACAGCCCAGAGAGGGGCAGGTTGCATATATGGTATCATGTCGATGAATTCTGATGACATAGTTGTTAAACACTTATTTCAGTTATCAGAGCACTAATGAGTGACCCCCACTGCACACACAAATATAGACACACACACACACACACACACACACACACACACACACGCCGCTGTGAGCGAGGATGGACACACACATACACACACACACACACACACACACACACACACACACACACACAGTCACACAGACCTTTAGGTACATGCAGATAGACTCATTACACTGCACAGTACACAATTCTGATGGACAGGATGCAACAAGTTTTAATTATTTATGGAATAGGGACAGTGGAAGAAAAAAAAAAGAGAGAGAGAACTATTGCAACATATTATCTGGACAAGGAGCGCTGCGCTGTTGTTTTGTTTCTTTTTCTCCTTCTCTGATCTTAGCTGTACCGAGGGGGAAGTATACACATGGTGAAGCAAAGCCAAGTGATTTGCAAACGGATGGATTTGGGGATAAAGTCCACCCGGAGTTGGCTGACTGACAACAGGCCAGTAAGTTGGAATCTGAGAACACTGTACAGTAAAGAGCAAAAAGTACTAGTACTCAGGTTAAAAGAACCATTGAACTAGTTCCTGTAACATCTTTGTTACACACCATGGTTAAAACAATAAACTGTGACCTCATGTCTGAGGTGCAAACTGAATGAGAGTCTATACAGTTAACACAAAGTTTGATTTGATTGATTATTTGATGATTTGATGTGTGAAATAATATTTACTAAAAAAAAACAAAAAAACAAGAAGCGCTTGGAAATATTAAACATGTTTTCTTTTTGTTCACTGCTACAGGCTGCAGTGACCTGTACACACCCACATTTTCAAAAAAGATTATGATGAAGGCCGACCAACAGAGCGACAGAGTGGTGGTAAATGCATTAGTGCTCCCGCGAGCACTACAGGTTTAAAGATTTCACATTATTGGTTACATCACAGACCACACATTTCTCTGTTGGTGATTTGACTGTTCTTAAAATCTTACATTTCCCACGCGGCTGGTCGGTTTCCGTTCTGCAGTCCATCACACGAAGCGTGCTGAGATGACCATTGTGTTGCTAAAGCGGTTCGCCCACATTGGCCACACTCAAGGCTGTCTGTCTGTCTCTAACTGCAACTGGACTAGACAGAATAACTTCTCTGGAAATGTGATCACGATGAGAGTAAATCTCTCTTTCCCAATGCATACAAGCCTTTTCATCCATTCCAAAACCAATCACCATAAAGATGATGAGTGATGATGATGATTTTATGGACAAGGGATCCCATTACTGACAAAGAATGAACAGAGAGAGAAACCTTTGTCCCATGATTCATGGTAAACTAACAGTGCACTTGACTGACTTGAACTGACGAAGCTGAGCTGACAGAGGCTCACTGACTGAAATGGATTTCAATAGTCTACCTGTACTCGGGGACTACAAAGACCTGACCTACGTTCTTACTTAGGTTGCTGACCAAAGGATGATCACATGACCTGTTCTGACACTACATCTTGGAAGCAAACCAGATGCCTGGTGTTTATTGTCATGTTGCTTGCTGTATCTGTTGCTTTTATGTTATGCTGGATGTTTCTTTGTGTGCAGAGTTTTGCCCATGCGCTCTCCTCCACAGAGAAAAGGGGGAACTGAATGCAAAACTATGGAATGTGACGAGAACAAGTCTGTGTGTGAGGTGTGTTATCAGACAGCCTGGAAGCTCAAGGTAGAAACTCTTTCAGAGAGGCTGTTTTACACACACAGAGCAGAGTGTCACCCAGAAGAACCATGTGACCACCTGATGAGGGAGGTTTTTAGCTAAACCCAAGCAAAGGCAATAAGTGCTGTTGATGATAGTTGACATGTTTCCAAAATGGACAGACATCAGTATTACTACAGAAACATGGTGACAGACTGAGACCAGTCGCTTTTTTTCCAGCAAAACTGGATCCAGTGGCTGCAGGCTTACCACGTTGTCTTAGAGCTGTGGCAGCAGCTGAGAAAGCTGTCATGGCATCACGTGACATTGTTGGTTATTCTGATTTAACCCTTTGGTCCCTCATGCGGTTTCTATGATCTTGCTTGAACAGAAGACCTCTCATCTCTCCACAGCACGTTGGCTCCGATACACCACTGTTCTATAGGATATGCCTAACATCGCTGTCAAACGCTGTAATGTTTTAAATCCTGCAACTTTGCTCCCCATTCCAGGAGACGGAGAAGATCATAACTGTATTGCTGTGCTTGAGCAGGTTTGCACTCCACGTCCAGATCTGTCTGAAACACCTCTAACTAACCCAGACCTGATTCTCTTTGATGACAGGTCTGCTTCACGCAATGTTAACACAGGAAAAAATCAAGTTGGTTTTGCCGTAGTCACTCAACACGAGACACTGAAATCTGGCCCCTTGCCATCTCATTATTCAGCTCAAGCAGCTGAGTTGGTTGCACTCACTGAAGCTTGTAAATTGGCCAAAGACAAATCAGTAACTATTTACACAGATTCTCAATATGCATTTGCAACCGTGCATGATTTCTCTGCAGTGTGGAAACATAGAAATTTCTTAAAATCTGATGGTAAGCCTATTCTGCATCATGATAAAATAGCTGCATTGCTTGAAGCAGTGATGTTGCCGTCTGCTATTTCTGTATGCAAATGCCAGGCCCATACTAATGCAAAAGACTTTGTTTCTACAGGTAATGCGAAAGCTGATGCAGCTGCCCACACCGCAGCTCAACAGACACACACATACACCCCTGCACGCAGACACAGACACAGATATTCCTCTGCATTGCATGCTATGCAACAATTTGCTACATCAGATGAGAATCGCACATGGCAACAGGTTGGTTGTAAATATGCTGATGATTTGTGGACTGGTCCCAATGACAAACCATGTTTACCCAAACATTTTTTTCCACATTATGCTAAATTGACACATGGGTTGGATCATGTGTCCAACTTCAAAACAAGACAGTGCAGCTGTAGCAAAAGCCCTGATTTCTGGGATCTTGCCGCACTGGGGCGTGCCTTCTAAAATCAGCAGTGACAACGGCACACCTTTTGTAAGTGAAGCCATCGAACAACTTGGCTCTTATATGGGCATTGATTTGAGACAACATTGTTCCTACCACCCAGCGAGTGGTGGAGCAGTAGAAAAAGAGAATGGAACATTAAAAGCTAAGCTAGCTAAATGTTGTGAAGACTCTTCCATGGACAAAGGCGTTGCCGTTGGTGTTGATGTACATGAGAACAAGGGTAAGAACTAGGTCAGGTTTGAGCCCGTTTGAGATTCTTTTTGGGCGCCTTCCATGAACAGGGATAGAGGCAGCGAGCAGAGTACCCCTTGACACACATCACTGTGAGAATGATTGAATGACTTTGTCCTCTGCTCTTGCCCGTCTACATCAGCAGGTTAAAGAGGCCCTACCCTCTCCAGCGACAGAACCACTGCACAGTCTCCTAGATTTTGTGCTGGTTAAGGACTTCAGAAGAAAGCACTGGAAGGCGCAGAGGTGGAAAGGTGCTCCTGACAACATACACAGCGGTAAAAGTTGCTGAAAGAGCTACGTGGATTCACGCCAGCCACTGCAGGAAGGTGCCTGCACCAGTACAACAATAGATCAACAAGCGTGCACAATCAGCACCTGAACAACGGTTTTCCCTGACCTTGTGTTGTGAGTGAAGGAGGGATTGGGAACGCTTAGGCACCCTTTGTCTCGGACTCACAGGCTGTTAGACAGCAAACATAAACACAAGGGAGCTAGTGGGAAAACTCCTGGTCTCACCACTGCTGATTTAAGTCACGCCGCAAAAAATTAAGAGTGAGTAGCATGGTTGTCTCTGGAAGGAGACATCCATGGGACCCAGTCAGACACCCAAATATGTGTGGCCTACGAGGAGCAACACAGATGTTTGCTGCCATTGCAATAGCATTAACAGCCTCTGTTGCAGTTCCTAGATCACAAGCATGATGCACAAAAGCCACCACAACAGAACACCACAGTGAACTACATGCATTGGCATCAAATAGCAGTGTTAGAGGCAAGAGAAGCACCCAAAGAGGCTGGGCTGCTGGGCTAATGTTTTATGACTCCTCTTGTACGTTTGTGCCCAACAATACAGCTCCAGATGGTTCGGTGACCCGAGTGCTGGAAGGACTGCGTTCCCTAAGAGAAGAACTTGCAGAGAACTCTGAAGTGGACACTAACATGTTTGACTGGTCTGATTCTGTATTTGCTAAATAAAAGGCCTCAGTGATGCCCATACTAGCAGGTGTGATGATTGATGTAGCACTGTTAGCTCTCTGTGGATGTTGCATTATTCCATGTGCCAGAGGTCTGATTGTAGGAGCTATTGATAAATGTGAATCTATTCAAATGATCACACTCCATGAACAAGAATAACATTCCACTGTGATGACAGGAAGGACCCAGATTCGTTTTCTCTGTTAAACTGGTCTAGATTACATCATGATGACTTTCTATGACCTGATGATCTTTTTGTAATGCTGTATATTCTTGAGTGATCAAAGAATGATCACAAGGGAGGAGTATGTGATGGAAATTTGATATTTTACTGTGTTTACTGTTTCACCCTGCATGCTTCATCAGAATAGACCAGTGTTTCACTGCGTGGTATTTTATTATTTTATTATGTTACAGCTAGGTGAAGTTTTCCATGGGAAAGATGCTCGTTAGAGAGTTTTCTTATCAGACTGTCCTTGATAGGCCTTCATCTCAGGAAAGCTGGTCCCTACTCCCTTCCTCCCTTGGATAGCTGCGTAATACCCTTACAGTATAAAGTCACCTGCTTCTTCACTGGCTCTTTGTCTTACACTCTGCAGACTGTTTTGCACTCTGTAAGTTTGTCTGACCCTTTGCAAAGAATAAAACCCTTAAAAGATGTCTGGATTGGAATCTTTATTTCAGAAGACTGAGAATTTCCATTACACCATGTAACGACTTGTTTCACCTTTACTCTATAAACGCAACCCGAAGTGTATATCACTTCAAGCCTGTTTTCTTCAGTTTTACATGCATAACTACAGTGACTGTGTGATGCGTTCTGTGCCAAAACACAGTTGACCTTCACTCAGCACTGTGCCTGAACGCATTCTGTGTACACACTGACTGGCCCTGCGGCTGCTCCGCAAACATGCAGCTTTCACTACGGAGCCTGTGTAAGCATTGTGTAACCCTACCTGTACCTTAAATATATAACTGCAATCTTTTCTGAACCTTAATAATGTACAAAGTGAGATTTAAGCTTTGCAGAATGGTCCAGTACTGATGCTTTTGTTTGGCAATAGGTTTGACAGAACATAACAAAAGCTGCATTAAGCAATTATTGACTGCTAGGAAGAAAAAGCACTACCACACACACTCCAGGTTGCTGAAAGCTGTTGGTAATGAATTATACTAACTTGTACACCAACACAGTGGATTAGCTGTAGAAAGCTGTAGAAAGTGCACAGAATTGCATCCAGGTGGATCAGCAAGTTTTACATCAGGATTTAAAATTTCACTTTGTATAAAATGTTTAAAATGTTTTCTGGGAATGTGGGGAGTTTTAGCTACAGCGCACGGCTATGTGCTGCCCAGGGGTGGTAGGGCAAGGGTGCTATGAGTGTATTCCTCTCATATCAGCACAGACAGACGTGGAATGTTTTGCGTTGTATGTTCAATTGTTACCAACTGCTGTTTTAACACACAGAGAGGAGATCGATATCCACAAGGTATCCAAAATAGATCTGAAGTCTTAAAGGTTTAGTGTTCCTTTTCCCTCATCCCTACAATGAAAGACATGTAAGTTATTAATACAAACTGTGTACACGTTTACTACATATTTGTATGCCTGGCCTTGTCACAGTGGGTGTTTCCTGCGTTGGGTGGGTTCATATCGACCACAGTGTGTTGAATGTCCCACACTGATAAGAGCAGAGGAGTGTTTCTTTCTCTCAAACATGAGTGACAGATGTTTCAGTCTCAGACTGTCAGCTCTCCAACACAACAATATATGTTGGGCAGGACACAGTGAAATGTTGTTGAGACAACCAGGACAATGGCAGCATTTTAGAAATACTGATGTCACAAGTTCCCCTAATTTCCCTAATGCAACCCCAGTCCAAAAAGCAACTTTGACTGCTGACTAAAACTAGTCTGTAAAATGTATTGATTATTCTATCTTATCTTATCTCTAACCACCTATAACCATAGAAAGTTATATTCAATAAAACATTTTTTTATATTTAATTAAACTAAATATATTTTGATAAATTCACACACACCGGGGATGCTGGGGACACCACATTTTGAAATGGCTGATTCTTTCCACATCACTGTGTGAAAGCATTTGTTGAAAACTTTCTGAATATTGCTTGCACCGAGAAATGTTAACTAACAAAGGAAAATGTTTTGAGAAAGGTTTATTTGCACAATAAGAAAACATGCAATGCAATTTAAACATAGAAGAAACAGCATTATATTTTGTTATATTTTTTTGTTGCCCTTCATATAAATAAAGACATTTCCACCATAAAATGTCTCCAGAAGGCAGGAAAGTGTTTTAATGCTCCACTTTCCTTGGTCTCTTGCCCCAAGTGTATCGTCACGCCCCTAATTTGAGCCCTTGTGTCCCCTCCACTTTTCAACACAAAGTTGCAGAATTTAGTATCAGCACAGTATTTACAGTATTTACTCTACCTACTTTCACTTTTATTAAAAGTAGCAGTGACACTGTCATCTAATAAACAAATGCAATATCATGATATTACTGCTAAGTGATTTATTTAACAAATAAGTTATGTCATTTATTTGACAATTGCATTTTTACCCTTTGGTGTAATTAATTACACTACAAAACAAGATAATCTTAGTTGTCAGAGGCTTTAGTCTTGCAAACATGGCTTCAGTTTTGACCATTGCATGTTAGCAATTGAAAAAAAACTGTGGGGTTGGTGATGGCGCAATGGATAAGACACATGCCCTTGCTGTGACCCATCCACCAATGAGTCCCTGAGCAAGACAATTAACCACTAGTTGCTGCAGAGGCGTTTTGTAAATCGCTTTGGATAAAAGCTTCCATTCCATATTTATATATTTCTACATTTATTTATGTTGACTGTATGTTTGTCTACGTGTAGCACCTTATCACCACAGCAAATTCCTTGTATGTGTAAAACACTACTTGGCAATAAAGCTCCTTCTGATTGTGATTCTTCTGATTCTCACATATCACTTTTTTGAACATCTGAAATATCATGACAACTGGACAAACATCTGTTGATGAAGACCATGTAATATTAAAAGCTCCTTAAAAACTAAGAGAACCTTGAGGTGAAATTGCTTTCTCAGTTAAAAGAACATTTGAAGATAAAATAAAATAAGAAATTAGACTCAAAGCGTCCATACTATGTACACTTTATGGCCAAAAGTATGTGGACACCCCTGCACACATATGCATATGCGCTGTTAGCCTGGGGCTGTTTTTCATGGGTTGGCTTCAGATAACATGCATGTTAATGTTATTGTTAATGTCAATAGTTTTCTTCCAACTTTTTGTCAACAGGAATGTCTTTTCCTGGTTGAACATGACAGTCCATAAAGAAATGGTTTTACCAGTTCAGTATAGCAGCTGACTGACCTGCACAGAGCCCTGACCGCAACCCCATCCAACACCTTTAGGAAGAATCGGAACGACAACTGTGAGCCAGAACTGATCGTCCAACACCAGTGGTGGACCTCACTGATGCTCTTGTTACCTAAAGAGAGCAAATCCCCACAGCCAGGTTCCAAATCCCTGTTGCAAAGCCTAAAACCAGAAGAATGGAGGCTAGCAGCAGTTCAAGCAGCAGGAATGAACTTTTCCACAATCACATTATGTGTTATGTAGCCATTAGTTATGTTCCCACAAGCACACCTGTGACAGACGCAAATTGTCGCACACATATGTTGCAATGACTCAGAAGTTTCCATTTAGAGTGATAAAGGTGTGCTGTTGTGTTTGCACATTTTGATATATCATGTTGTTAATCAGTTCTGGACCTCAGTACCCGGACAGTATAAAAACTCTCACTGGGTAACAGCGAAACGCTCATTCTCTCTTTAGGCTTTCAGGTAACCACCCCATCCTCCTACTAGCACTACACACTTCATCATTCATATACACAGTGTCAGTGATTAAGGTGACGAATCAAGCCTCAGTCTGTTAATATGTTACATTGATATTTTGCATGCAGAGGAATATAATATTGATAAAGGATTTTTTTCAACTTACTTACTGTGTATTTTTGAGTTATGCTCTCACATCGGGTCCCTCCTCAACGTCTTATCCTCTTTCTCTCTGGTTATTACAGGTCTGTTGCAGCCATGTTGGTTTTCTCTTGGTCTCTCGTGGCCCTGCTGCTCGCGTCCTCCTCCTGGGCTTCGGTAGAATATTTCAGAAACCACTCAAACATTTCACAGACCAAAATTTGGTTATTTTCCAAACTGTAACAAACTGTATTATTGATTCTATAGAGTAAATAGTGTCTTAATACCGCATCTGTACTTTTATATTCCTTTGTGCTGCTATGTCGACCCAAATTATTTAAGTTAAATCTTATCTTAACCAGTTGGCTGAAAAATATGTAATCACTATTTAAAAAAAAATGTTTATTTGAAAGGGACCAAGTTTAATAAGCATACATTTCAGTACTTGAAATCGAATGCATTATACGGAGATATAGCTCAAAGTTCACCATCACCAGTCCCTCAGCAGGTGAACAAAAACACAGACAACATGCAGATTACATACAAGGAACATTATAAAATAATGTGCACTATCTACATAGGCACAGGATGCATATGGTATTAAGAATAAGAATTGTACTGATATTTTCACCATCATTTCCTAATGTAATTTTTTATTTCATGTAACTTGCTGATAAAGACACACAGCTCTGTGTGGCCGGAGGGATTTTATTGGTTGAAATGTGAGGGGATGGAGAAACTAATTTTTTTTTAGCAGGTCCAGACCATAATCTTCATAATAATATTAAGACACCCAAGATTTACCTGCAGATTAAGAAAGAAAGAGGTTTCAGGAAGAGCTGATTTGCATTCTGTCTTTGTGACTGAGCTTTCATAACATTTTGCTCTCCTTCTCCATGTCACTGTGGGTGAGTACAGGAAGGTAAGAAAGAAATTATAACCTCTCTTTATCCAGAAAAACTGACCAGTAAAACCAAATAATTTACATATGTTGTATATCTGGTTTAGAATTGGCT